GAAGAAGCTGTTGAAATCCACTGGCTCTTTATAACCACTTTCGGAAAGTCGGCTACGGTCTTCAACGCTGTTTATACGGCAGACTGGGGGTGGCACCAGCCCTTTTCTGGAAGCGATATTGTTCTGTTCCCGTAACTGTCTAACCAGTTTCTCAGTAAAAGCAGCCTCTGTACGGTCATTGCCAAGCTGCGCATGTGGTGGTTTTGGTTCTGTAGTCTTTCTACGTCCATTTAGACCCAGACATACGCGTGCTCGAACTAACGCGTGGTTGCTGTCCGAATATGTGTTCCAGAAGGAGTGATAATCTTTCACTGACCCTCTTCGGCAACGGTTGAAAGCAACATGGGTTATCTGTGTTCGTTAATGAGTTGAGGTCCATGGAATCCATGTCAGACAGTATCTGTCTTTATGTCCGTAGTTCATTTTGGCCAGAAACGGAATCCATTTGTAAACTCGTAGCATTGAGTGTGGAGGACTGCAGGAGCAAGAGAGTGCTATTTTTAGGGAAGGCAGCATTGGCATTACACTGTTGGCCATTCGCGGGTACCACCTTACTGCTGCTGTTACCCCCCTATCCACACAGAAGTACTTCTCCCTCGGGCTCGTGTCATATCGTGGCAATTTGTACTGTAACGGTAACTGCTTTTCGTCTTACCACTATCCAACAACCTTTTCTGGTATGATAGGACCTCAAGAGAAAAAGTGAAACACTAGTATAGCTCTTTGGATCATTATAATATACGAGGTCGACCATCACGTCAAGGTAGCAGCTGTTATTTAGGAGGAACGTCTTTCCATGTGTTGCTGTTTATACTTTCCAATACTCTTTTCTGTAACCACTCCTGTTACACGATTTATTATACCTCATTGTATATATTATTATTGTTATTATTATATACTTGTCCTGAATTATTCATACACTCAATCTTCTATTAATTGTTAGTGTACTAGTACTTTTTCATATTCTTCACTAACGACTGTCACCTGTGTCACGTGATGTATGTTGGACACGTATTCTTAAGTTTTCTGGTTGGGTGATCGCATTAGTTAATTATGTACTTATCATAAATGTGTTCCCACCTTGCAATATTCATAACCTATTTTTCTGAATGCATCACCGATTTATGAATGTGTCTACTAAATTCTATGGTTTATTTGTCATCAGAATTTTGGAGATTGATTGGGTAGTTGTTGAAAAGATTACCGAATACTTCAGTTATTCACTCTATTAAGTTATGAATAAATTAATCAGTTTTACAGCAATTATGTGCGTACGTAGAACGCAGTTAAGTGAACAATGAACATAACTTAAGGTACGTCAGACTTCACAAGGATTTACCTGCTCCCTGGAGGTCATCTGGCTGACTTGTAGAATGCAGACGATATTGTCCTGCTGGGTGAAGTTGCCGACAAAATAGAGGGTCTTGTGAAGGGGTTAAGCAGAAATCTGGGTGTGTTTAGCATGGGCTTCGGTTTCACCTGTCAAATGTGAGATGATGCTCCAGGAGTGGTCTGCTGCAATTGCTCCCAGTTTAACGATAGATAGGGAGTGATGTGTTGTAATGTGTCGACCACTTCACCTCCTTGGGGAGTTGCATCAATCCGATCGTGGTGGTTGCTGACGAAATCTCAGCTCGTATGCAGAAATGGCGTTAGGGAATGAGCAACTTGTGTTATCTGTGGCGCCGGCTGTCAAGATGTCTGATTGTCTATGAGAGGACGAGTATACTGCACTGCACTCCGTTCTACGTGTTATACGACTGTGAGATATGGCTGTTTGAAGTAGAAGACATGAAACAGTTACAGTTTTTCTACCATAGGTGTCTTCATAGCATTTCTCGCGTGTTGTGGAATCACCTTGTGAGGAATATTGAGGTCAGGCGAAAGATACTGGGCAAGACGAGCAAGTTGATTGATGAGGTTGTGAACCTTAATCGACTGAAGTCACTTGGACATGTACTGCGGATGCCAAGCTACTGCCTACCTCGACGTGCCTTGCTGGTGGAAATTGGATTAGAATGGGAAAGGGTTCAGGGTGGTGAGGCAAAGACCTGGCACCAGTCGATGGAGTCCCTAACTGTTGGCTTGGGCCATGTGTGGAGATGTAGATAGCCTGGTTGGGGTCTCCGAGACGAAAGTAATCAGTGGTTGAGGACACTCGGTGACATGGCTGAAACCGGTCACATTATTATAATATTATTTTAACATTGGGTTCGTAGTGGAACATAAGGCTTCAGCAGCACGCCTCCATTGCACTGTGTTCTCTGAAGTCTTTTGAATCTGGCTCCACGACAGCTCGCAAGCTTTCATTTCTTCCTCACATGATCTCCTCCATGTCACCCGCCGACGCTCAACTCGTTTCCCCTTTGAGTTTCACTCGACGGCGTGACCTGGCGCGTGATGTCCCTAGTTGGCCTTCTCAGTGTATGCTCAATCCAATCCATCTCCACTTTTTTCTGCATATTTGTTGCGTGATAGGTCCTTGCTTCGTTGTTTCGTCCCCATAGTTCCTTGTTGCTTATTCATTCTGGCCATCTGATCTTCAGTATCGAGCCAGAGTAGACAGCTGTTGGTGAATGTGTGTAGTTTGTTGGAAATGCTTTTCGTAACACGCCAAGTTTCTGAACCATACAGAAGCACTGACTTGACTTTAGTGTTGAAAGTCCGGATCTTGTTCCACATGCTGAGTGGAGTGTAGTAGATCTCCACACTGGTTTCAGGCTAATGAACGCCTATCTTGCTTTTCCGATCCTGGCTTTGACGTCCTCGTCTGTGCCGCCTGTAGTTGAAACGATGCTATCTTGCCTGGGTATGTGAAAGAGACTACTTCCTTCAAGTTTCCCGTTGATGGTGATTGGAGCTTGTTGTTGTTGATGCCGTTGTTGGTTGGGTATCTTCATCACCTCTGTCTTCCCTACATTCACTTGAAGTCCCGTTTTCGCTGCCTCTTCTGTCAACTTGTCAGTTCTTTCCTGTAGATCTTCGAGTTTGTGCGACATTGGACATAAATCATGGGCGAAATCCAAATCTTCTAGGGTTTTTTCATCGTTCACATTGGCTCAAATGTATTCACTACTTGATATCTTCTAAAGCTCGAATATTCATAATAACCCTTACTTCCAAATTGCTTATTCTCTCACTTAACTTCGTCTACTTTGATATCACTCTTTGTAATGTGTCGACCACTTCACCTCCTTGGGGAGTTGCATCAATCCGATCGTGGTGGTTGCTGACGAAATCTCAGCTCGTATGCAGAAATGGCGTTAGGGAATGAGCAACTTGCGTTATCTGTGGCGCCGGCTGTCGAGATGTCTGATTGTCTATGAGAGGACGAGTATACTGCACTGCACTCCGTTCTACGTGTTATACGACTGTGAGATATGGCTGTTTGAAGTAGGAGACATGAAGCGATAACGGAGTTTTGATTGCAGGTATCTTCTTGCTCATGTTTGAAGTAATCACCTTGTGAGGAATATTGATATCATGCAAATTGCACTAGACAAGGAGGACAAATAAATTAATAAGGTTGTGAACCTTAGTCGACTGATATTGCCTTGACAAGTGTTGTGGGATGCCGAGCTACCTTGGGTGCTGACAGAGTTGTGAGGGCGGTTGACACTTCCCGGCTGCCCACACCGTGGAAGGCTATTTCTTCTCAAGGTACCTGAAAGAGATTTGTGTGACCGCAGAGCCCATCGGATATCTGCTTGAGGCCTGTCACACCCAGCCTTTTGAGTATGATTATTTTGTATTTTTGGGGCCGGATGGTCGAAAGGAAATGACAAGTGAACCAACACCGCCGGCCCGGCAGTCCGTGGGGCGTGGTGGAGTGTGTTATTTTTGGGGCCGACCTTTTCTAACCCCCCTTCCACTGAGAAGGCAGCATCAGCATGGCACTGCTGGTCATCCAAGGGAAACACCTTACTGCTGTCACACCCCTTCAGCTAGCAGCAGTACGACTTCGCCCTCAGACCCCCATCATAGTGTAGCAATTTACACTATAACGGTAACTGCTTTTCGTCTAACCACTATCCAACAGACCTTCCTGGTATGGTAGGACCTCGAGGGAACAAGCGTTCCACCAGCATAGCTCGTTGGGTCATTGTGATATGCAAGCCCGACCACCACGTCAAGGTAGCACCTCGATATGCCATGATAGAGGAGGTTGGATTAAAATAGGATGAATGGTTTGCAAATGCTTCTCAAGTTTCACGGTCCACGCTGACATTTCTCACAGGTGAGTAGTTTTTCAGCTGTCTAACTGTGGTGTCAACAGGGTTTCTGCCATAAACGATTCAATTGAGATCATAAGGTGTGATCACTGGCACAAAAGTGTCATAAAATAGCGAAAGATACTATTGCTGAATATCTTGAGTAGTTAAAAAGCACTCAGGTTGATCTGTAGTATTTCTCTAGGCAGACCAGAGGTTGGTAGAGGGTTCAGGGTGAGGAGACCAAGACATTGTACTAGTCGATGAAGTCTCTAACTGTTGGTCTGATCGGTGTGGACTGCTTGATTGGGTTCTCGGAGACGAAACGAATCATTTGTTGACGTTCTCTCTTGGTAACATGGCTGGAAATCGATCACAATGATGCAGATGGATTCTCTCCTTGACATCTTCAAAAGCTTGAATATTCGGACTAACCTTTACCTTCAGATTGTTTTTCCCTCACACAACTTTGTCTACTTTGACATTTCTCTTTTTATATCCATATGTTCTTTGTTTAGTACTGTGAAGTGTGCAACTTGAGCCGATGCAACTGTGTGCAAGGTTCCGCGTTGATTTTGCTAGTCAGTCATTGTCCAGTTATAGAAAAAGATCAGTTAACGTTAAGGAGAGGACATGACGATTCCGAAGGTATTCAAATAGAAAATCTGCTTGATACGTGTAATAAGTAGTTTTCTATCCGTTTCGTTGACAATTTGATCATGCAGTATGACTATGAAATAATATCGTCGTTTGAATATAAATTTTGTTTGTTTTTTGACTTCTTGACAGCTTAACCGATTTGAATAACAAAATAGAATCAGCTGAATTGGAAATGAAGAAATTTCATGAATGCTTTCAATATGAAATTAAACAAATACGAACAAATATCCCGTTGAAAGTACGCGTAGATGATTTAGATCCACGTCATTTAGAAAATCCACATATCCTTTTGCTTGGCCCACAATGTAAGCCTAATCGACAAAATGAATCATTGTTAGATGCTGATTTAGAGGAAACTACAAGCCGTCTGTTACCTGATCCTCTTCTCCCGGCTCCGTATACTGATCTTTCCAGAAAAGCTGTTTAAACCATATGCGTGCATATATGTATATATCTATTCATATAAAGATTAATGTTCTATAATATTTTCGCCATTCAAATAAGGCTTGTGAATAATCTTACTTTCTGTGTAATTATTTTGATTGACTATAATTCTTTTCTTACATTTAGTGGGATATATATGCATGTAGCCAGTTAATAAATTGTCTTATATTTGTCTCTTCTTAAAATCTCCCTTCACTCTTGGAAGCTGTACTATGCTTCAAGAATGACGTAATACCCCTTTCAGTTACGACAGTCTACTGAAAGAGAACTGTATATTTTATGTCATGTTAAAACACAGACGATGTGGATATGTGATCAAAATGATATCAGTCCAGATTGTCATAGTTTTGTGTTGTTCCAGTTATCTTTACATGCTCTGATATTAATCAAAACTACTCCGACATTACAAACTAGATTTTGAGAGATCATCAAGAATTAATAAACGATCGTAATATTAGTGCGGTATTTCAATACTATAGCTCTGATGAATAATGTTATATCCCTTTTTTAATTCCTAGAAGGGTTGCGAAAGATTATTCCTCATGATCACTAACATCCATACAACCTGTTCGCCTCCAATGAAATTTGCTTTATAACAGTAAATATTCATATCATTGTTTGTATAGGCAATTTCTTGTTCATTTATCTAGGGACTGATGTATCTCGCTCGCAAGAACTACTGGTCACTCTTAGTGTAGGTTATTGTATGCCGGTCTGAACTAATACGAACAGTTTCGATCGTGTATAATCACTATTAGCCTTCCATTCTTTAGTAAGTGTTAAAATGAATACATGATCGGTTTTGTACTGAAAACTATTCAGCAGTGTAATGTTATCAGTTATACAGCTTCCAGTAAAGGTAGTTTTTAAGATGTACTCAAATCAGTACAACCCAGTTGACAAACAAGTGTTTAGGCATAAAGCATTGCTAGTCTCTTGGTATGGTATTCATACCGTACTACTCATGAGGGAATATGTTAAACTAAACTGGCAAACGATGGCGAACAGAAACATTTTTAGCACTTATTCTTTTAAGATTTTCATTGTTAGCCTGTGTTGTTTTCTTACACTTGAAGTGTAACTGACGTTGAATAGTACAGATTGGATTCGCTAGTCTGTTCTATCATCTAGCCAACTAATTGCTCTTCTCAATTTAAAATGATTATATTATACGATTCCATACACTGCAGCTTTGCACACTCCATGTTGTTCTGATATGCTTCGACATGAACAGTCGCTATTTTCATTTAGACAGCTAGCAATGGAATCCATAGTACGCCTTTCATCCTATTTAGGATTCGTAAGCTGGATGTACTTGCAGCCCAGTGACTGGTGCTATTCCCACTGAGACTCGAACCCAGTACCCACCGCTTCAAACACCAAAGCGTTACCCACTGGAGAACGAGAGCTACGTCTTGTGCAACGGGTATCAGTTATTTTTTGATACTTTTAATTTACCGTTGCTACACAGGGTTAAATTGTTCGACCTCTGTTGGGAGATGGGCTCCTGTGCAGATGCCTTGATACCGCCGAATATTTAACTCACGAGTTCCAAATGGGACAAAACGCGCGTTCTGGATTTCATTATTAGTCACCGAGATGAATACGACTTCATAAATATCCGGCAGTATCGAGGTGTCTACATAGGAGCCATCTACCAACAGAGGTCGAGCAATTCGACCGTGTATAACAACAGGAAATCACAAGTGTCAAACAACAGCTGCTATTTTCACTTAATCCTTAGTAAAGGCAAGCACAACAAGTGCATCTATCAAAAGTATGGTAACAAACATTTTGTAAGGCAATAACTGTCAAACAATCAGTAGGTGGATAAAACACACAACAAGTAACTGGCATCACACATATATTTAAGTAACTATAAATTAGCCCGTTAAGTAAATAAATTTAAAAAGAACTTTATGTACACTTTGATTTGATTAGGTTTGTAAATAATTCAGGTTTCTGTATGATAATAATGGTTGCGATAATGACAATAACAATAGCGGTAAGCGAAACGATTTAAGGTGAATAAATGCATATATAGATAGTGGTGATTACATAAATTATATAACAATTGTATGAACTGAATTAACGATCACGGTTTGTAGTTGGAGTGCAACTGTCGATCAACTCTGAAAATAGCAACGATATCACTGAATTGATGAGCTTAACAAGATGTTAGGAATTATTATCTTATACGAGAAAAATTACTAATTTGGATGGATAAATATATGCATATTCACAGAAGGAATTAAATTGTAACAACAGGCGTAGATGGATTATTCATCTCTTTCTAGAAGAATTACCCACGTAACTATTCAAACATTTTGAAACAAGTAATCATATCAGTTGAACAGATACAATATCGATCGGCAAATAAAAGTAGATCAGACAACAGATAGTACGGACGAATAAAACATACCACTTTATAAATATTAAAACTACATACTGATTAAAACAAAAGGGAAGCAAATAAGAAACAAATTCAAATGACAGCAAAGATCTCCATTAAACATTTTGGATATGAATTGTATATGTATGTGTAGTAGTATCAGGTGACTGGAAGTAAGTAAATACATTGCACCATAAATTGTGGAGGCTGTATTCATTATAGTTGCTTATTGAACTAAAGGAAACAAGAGAAAAATTTGATGTTTAGTATATCGTTGTTTTTTTCATCCAAAAGAAACGCGGTGAATAAAAATTATTTCAGCAGCCAAAGAGAATATGCATCAATAGCATACTGAAGTAATCATAGTTCTTTTTATGACGACTTGCTGACCTGAGAGAGTTCAGGTGCTTTTATTCTTTAACACAGTAGGTGAACAATGATGTCCATAAATTAGTTAGCTTCATTTATTTATATATAAGCATACTTAAGTGTACTCATTCTAAGTTTTGCGTTCATTTTTGATTTTTAGCCGCCCATTTTTGTGATTGTCGAACAATTTGTTGACTTAATTCCTTAGCAGTTAGTGGGACTCGAACAACCTATAAAAAAATGTAAACAAAAGAAGAAAACTGATTAACACATAAACCCATTTAAGCTATATAGAATGGATATTTTAGTAAAAAGTAGTTAGTAGTATTTCACTAATTAGTAGTGATGGTAAAAGTGAACTCAAACCTCATTACAGTCAATCTTTGCTAATATTAATCTCATCTTCTATGAACTATATACTTTGAACAGATTCACTAATAATTGATATCAAAGGTTGATCATTTATGTGAAGACATGTGAATTTTGTGTCAATTTGAATTGTTGATATAGTAAAGCGACATTTTCCAATAACTATAGTTGGTAGCAGAGAAATTCACACAATCTGAATGGATTACAGGAAATGATTTTCAATACAGTCGTACATTTACAAAAAGCTTTGTGTGAGAATATTTATCATGTATTTGTTAGATTGCCTTAGTAATAGACCTTGATATGAAACCAATTAAATATCACAATAAAAAACTTTGTATTTCTTCTTGTAGAATAGTGACAAACTACGAGCTTTGAGTCATTCAATGTTGGTTGAATTTCTTCTATTAAGGAGTAGGGTATAGTAGTTAGATTCATATTATTATTATTATTATGGTTGAGTGATGAATAATTTTAACAAGTAGACTGCTAGATCATTTTTTTTAAGAACTAAATAAATATTCATACACAATGCATATTTTAAAAGAAGGTAGCATGTGAACAATGATTAAAACCAAGCTGTTGAACTATTTGAAAAAAAAAACAGCACTAGATGAAAAGGAGAATCTATCTGCTGGTCGGTAAAACTCAGTTTTTTTATGGAAATATTTTCATATGTTTGAGAAAACAAAATAGAGATGAGCGATGAAACGAAGGACATGAAAATAAGAAAAAAATGCTTTTCATATCCTCAAAATGGTCAGGAGTATTAACGCTGAACTCTACTTTAGGCTCCATCCAATGAGAATATTTGATATGAAACAATCACTCAGATGAGTTTCAACAGTCAAGTGCTTCCGTTATATTTACCACAGGAAGATGCAGAAAAAAGAACGGATATTAAAAAAAATAGGATAGAGAGAACCAAAGAAAAATCTATAGAGAAATGTGATGCTGAAATAAGTTTATGCATTAGACTCATGATGATAATAATAATCATGATAATCGCTTTATCTCAAACAACATGTATGATACAATATGGAATTTTCAGCATTTCATACTTTAAAAAATTAACTTCGTATACAACATTTTTAAACGAAGTAATTATTGTATCTGAATAATGTTAATAACAACAGTATCTAAGGCGGGCAGCTGGTGCTACATTAGAGTCTGGTTTGAACTAGAGAATTAATAGAAAGTAGAGCGTCTAATAAGTGAAGGTAGTACATTCAGCTAGTACCAAAATCTGCAATTCGATATAGAGATTATATGAATAGAAATTTACTGTAGTTTTGTTTATTTAAAAGTCCAATACCATCAGGAATAACGTTTTTTTTTCTTTGTTTTATTGTTCACTTGAAAAACTGCAGTTTGAAAACATTTCAAAAATGTACAAAAGTACATGAAATGTTTAGAAGATATGTTCATAAAATTAAAAAATTAATATGGAAGAATTTGATGGAAAATGTTTGGTAGCTCAAGGACTAAGCAAGCGGCTAGATGACGCTCATCTAGCATGTAAAAGTTAATGATACTAATTCACAACCAGAAATGAGCCTGTTATCTGTGGAACAGTAGTACGAAGTCGACTACGATTACAATCATGAACGAAATACATAACAATTGGATCCAAACACAAAAGGTTTTATTGATATCGTGTAGCTTACATTACTAATTACTCCAGTGAAATATATGCGCCTGTGCATCAAATGTTGAGTACACTTACTGTACGATACTTAGTTTCTTCAGCCATGTTATCCCAAGACTCACTCACACAAACTAAATAATATTTAAAGTCTGCTGGTAATTACCAAGCAGCCAGTAATTAGTGTATGATGGAACAAGAAATTTCAAGGTGATGTATTAATGAAATAAGTAAAGTTCAAAGATTGAAGTATCTTCAATACTCAGTCTGTTTGAAGACAAACAACCGTAAAATATAATATGATATTAAAAAACTGTATAAAATATCTCATGTTGAAAAATATAACAGTCAAAAGTACTTCATTTCATTTATGAGATCGTAAGTGTTAAATCATACATATTTCCAGTACAAGAATTTCTTGTGTATGGCAGCAAAGTTTAGTCAAGGTGAGTTGTTTCACAACTCAAGATTTTCAAAGAACCGAATTTAGATTTAATGGTAAAAACTAACAAGAAGAGTAAAAATAGATTCACTACAGCAGTGATAACTGAAGTTGTAGGATTACATAGACTGTGATTAGCTTTGAAATATTCATGTGTCTCCAGTATTTTATATTTCGATGCACAAAATTTAGCTAGTAGCTTTGTATTAATATGACTGTATTAAATCTTCTTATACTAAACAAAGAGCATCACTCTTATTACATGTACTTGAACAATGATTCACAAATCGATTTCCTTCTCTAATTATTTATATTGGCCTTTAGTACTGTTGTCTTGTCACATTCTATTGTATAACTATGTGTAAGTGCGTGCATTGCAATAACCGAGTTTTTCCTCTAAACTATCGATCCTTGTTAAGGGTTTGACATTCTGAATCTGGCTGAGTTTCTATGTTGAGATAGTTTAGCTGACTTAAATCCATTTGTTTGACCCTACAATCACTAAACGGTATTAGGTAGATCAAATTCTTTCGCTAATTGGGTGAATAGGATCCTTATAGTAAAAGATTTATCTATCAGTCAGTCAGCAGGTTTATTGTACCATGGTTATACCACTGTTAAGAATCTCACACGAAGTTTTCCATGTTCCTTCTATAAATGGTAACGTTAGAAGACTTAAATTTCTTTCTATTTGTGCGAAATATACTATTCATGATGCAACAATCATTTTCACTGCATTCAGTAACATATTGATTGCTATCTGAATACAAAGCGTCACTATATCAAAACTAACCATTTTATTCACCATCTATATGCAGATCATGAGTCAGTCTCAACTAGTCTAAAATTTGACCGGTTTCTAATGCGACAAAATATCAGTGTATCATTCTAGTCTGATAGGATATCACAGTTTATGAATCCGAAAATGATCATAAATCCTACTAAAATTACTAGTTTTAAGTATTACAATAAACCAGTTAAACTCATTTAGAGATGAAATCATTTGGTGTATCAGATTGGTTGTGGATTCCTCGATCCTCATCATAGCTGTTATACAGGTTTCTCTGTATCTTCAGATGGTCGTTGATTTTACTGAAGTAATTTGTTTTGGCTATAAATAGAGTTAAATTACCCTTATTGAATTGAATGATTACTATGTCATTCTCATCTCTTACATTATTCAGAGCTAATGTTTTTGAATCGGTTTAATTTCATCTTCTCATCTTTTTACTCAGAGATAAACTTTGTTGCCTAATGCTCCTGTTCACCCAATAAGAAAAAGAATTTGATCCACCCATTACCAGTTAATGACTATGGGGTCAAAACAATCGATTTAATTCAGTCAGCCAAATTTAGAATGACAGACCTCAACTAGGATCGATAGTTTAAAGGAAAAACTCAGTTATTGTAATGCATGCACTTACACACAGCTATACAATAGTAGAATATGACAAGGCAACAGTACTAAAAGCCAATACAGATAGTTGAAGAGAGAGAGAGAAATAAGTTGATTACTGAAGCATTTTCCATGTACATGAAATAAGAATAACATAACACTCACATCAGATATATGGAATTTTCTGTTACCACTTTAACCAAGGGATATAAGTTGATAAAAAGATGAAAACTAGATATCGAAAGTTGTATAATTAATTTAGTTTGATTATGAGTACTAATTTGTATTTGAAATGTCATCTAATGAATAATTTTGTTTCATATATCAAATAAACAAATGTCATATAAAATCAGATTTAACGATAATGACCAACTTTTTTTCTTATTTATACCGTAATCCAAATTCTAACTGAGTTAGGTGATAACTTAATGAAAATATACACAGTTGTTCAAAATTATTATATACTGAGACATAAAACGTCTGTGAACAACTCACTTCACGGATAAAATCATCCAATTTACCAATAACAGATGAAACTTCACGCAATCGTATCAGAATATCATCCAGTCCACCGCATGATTTGCGATGTGAAGGGTGTCCAAATAAACGATGAAGTAGAATAATAGCCACCTTGAATAATATAATCTTACCTAATTGAATTTAATGAAAAAAAATGAAAAAAAAGTTAGTCTTTAAGAGACTAATCAACATTATTTATTAATTATGAAGAAGAGAAATGTTTCGGAAAAATAATTAAACGCACTAATATGTTTAACAAAAACAGTGTTGATCACATACTTTTTTTTACATATTTTGTGTACCTACATGACAACCGTTATATATATAAATCCCTGTGGTAGATTCAATCGATTACTCAGATTCAACTAGTTGTTAGATGGAGTTGTGGTTCATTAGTTTGAGGAGTTGACTTTCACTCAATGGATCACCCCACCTACCAGGGTTTGTGCATCAAGTAGTATAATTAGCACTCACACAATAGGTGTGGCTCATTGCCTACTGCATTATGATGCACAAAGTTGCTGAATAGATTTTAATTCTATGCATACTTTGATGCAAAACATATCTAGCGTGTGAAAACTAACGAACCCACTTTTCGGTTGATCAAGCTAAATAAATAGGGCAAAATAAAAGAAAAGTCTATGTTCATCATTGAAATGTTGAAACAGTTAAGTGGTGTCTTCAATGAAATGAAATATCAGAAGCTGGAAAGAAAAATTAGACAATATAGTGTCTGAGGTATATAGATTATATGCCCTTTAACAAAAGTAGCAGTTCAGATTACACTTTACGATTTAGTTATGCTATGTGTTCTGTTTCAAAATATATGCGGAAATTGTTAGTTGAGCTTACGATAGATGTCAGTGTAAGAAAGGCATTAGTTTGGTGCAAGATTAAATAATCTACAATTTTTTAGCGTATTTTTGTTGGCACTACTTTTTATGTACTGGTTCTCTTTCTCTTTGCGGCTTTTATGCATGACTAGCTGTGTAGATGCCCTGTTGAATTAGCTCTAAGCTGTTTCAGTCAGTCAATATAATTATTAGCTGGAAGAATTAAATCCAGTTAAACTTGCGAGTACAAATAATGAAAACAATTATTTCCTCCGAAATAATGACAAGCTAAGACTATGATGATGAAGAATATGATAATATGGCCATTATCATTAATGCTGAATATTTCGGAAATCTGCAAGATATGTATTTACCTATTTAACTGTAGTGTATATAGCTGAAAGTAGTGTACATCTTCGTGAGGTTGCATTGCAGACAATGTCCAATATAGCACTGAAGTATCTTGTCGTAAATGATTTCAACTTGAATACCAGTTCCATTAGAACATCCATATCCTTAACCGCAAGCATTTAAACAACTTTCTGTAACTTTTCATATTAATGACGGATAGTGGGTAGCAATGGAGTCCAGGAAGTGCGTTTCGTCTTGTTTGGAAGTCACCAGCCGATATGCTTTCCGGTGAGCGATGTTGTCCCCCCTAAGACTCGAAACTGGGACCGATCGCTTCAAACCTCAGAGGCCTAGTGGCTTTTAAGACACGGAAGCCACTTCTTGCGCAACGGGTATATTTTTCATGTTAGTACTTGTATTATCGCATCGTTAACTGGTCCATATTAGCATATAGGTTCCGGCGCGGATGCCTCAATAATGCCTGTCGTTTCGATTTTGATATTGACGATCGCCTGGTGGATAACGCTCTGGTGTTTGGAGTAATCGGTCCTGGGTTCGACTTCTAGTGGGAACAAAATCACTCACTGGGACGAAGGCACATGCAGCTGACGAGTCCCAAAATAGGACGAAATGCACGTCTTGGTTCCCACTACTAACCACTATCCATCGTTAATATGAAACTGAAACGATAGGCAATATCGAGGTGTCCGCGCAGGAGCCTATATGTCAATAAAGGCCAATCCATTCGGTCAAGTCAACGGCGGAATAATACAAACAACATGTTTGTAACATGTATTAAGCGGTTGGTAAAGACGAAGGAAATCTTTGTAAACGTCTTATCTTTTAAACTTTTTGTAAATTAACTACCAAAGTGCAAAAAAAATAAAGTGTATACATAAATAGGATTAACAGTCTATCGATGAATCATAACTGTTTATGCTAAATAATTCGATAAAGGAATGCTATCAGATTTTCAATTAAGCACTTCATTGATGGTCGCATTAGCATCTTTACATGAGAATATAGAAAAGACAAGTACAACAAAGAGATGATAAATCATACAACATACTTTGTTCACTTTGAACTTAGTTCGAAAAATAGTAATGCTAATGATTTAAATACGGATAATATTTTGACATAGTTCAATCAATCAACACTAAAAAGTCGGATCAAAAAGGTAGGTGAGTGAAACCATTTATTTATTGAAATTTAGCTAGACTTCTGAATATTTCAAATATGTAAATGAATACTTGTTATATTACTGTCTTCTGTAGAGCAAGACGAGTATGTTCAATTGATAAATCGTAGATAATCAGCAGATATCCGAAAAGATTTATTTAAAAGTATGGTAGGATTAGATAAAGTACGATGGTTAACGAGAGATGTATCTTTATTCATCTTGAAATGATATTGTAAAAACAAAAAGGCAGAAGACTAAACAATGCAGTAGTCAGAAAGTTTCCTGCAGCTAGGATAGTCCTTACACTTTGAACAGCTTGTTTATCATTGCAATCATAAGTCGATAAGTACCTCTCTTAATTTAACTCTATTTGTGTGCATGAATTAACAAGTATGTGTCGAAGAAAACAAATCGAAATGACAGAAAAAGGGTCTATCTTAGATTTTTCTAAACATGTTCTCATAATTTAGTTTTAGGGGTTTGCGGGGTGAAGTGTTTCCTAAAGTTCCAATAAGAAGTCGTGACCGGTGGGCAGACCGAGTGGAGGTGAGAACAAATACTCAACGATGACATTGGATGATGGTCGCGCTATATCGTGAACTAACAGAAGTAATAAAGTGTGAACTATTGGGTTCCGACCCAGAGGCTCAATGATAACGTGGTGGACGCGGAATCTGAGGGTCCTGGGTTCGATCTTTGGCGGGGTCGTGGGTATGCACTGCTCAGGGGTTCCATACTAGGGCGAAACAGCTGTTCAGTGCTCTTAGGTTTCTAATGTTTCTCCAACTGATGTCAGTCCATGATTAACATCAATTTGAGAGGCCCTAAAAAGCCAGACACTAAGGGGACCCAGTAATTTGAACAGAGCAATTACCACCACCAAATACCTTAAAATCTCTCAAGATAATAAAAAGACAACGTAGTGAGAGCGGTGGCGTAGAACTTTATGATGATAGGTGTTGGTCAACAGCTGTTCACACTGAAGGGAGACTGATGATCAGAAACGATATTGTCTCGCTAGATCATCATCGAAATGAATTAATTAAAAATAAATTCGTAAATTAAATGGTGGGAATAATTCAAATACTCTATAATTTATTGACTTTTAAGCAGCATTTCAAATTAGATGTTAACACGGCAAGTTCTAGCGAAGCTGAGAACGCAGAAGTATTGAAGGTTATGAAAACTTATTTAAACTGTGGTAATAGTTGATTTTGTAAGTTGGGCATAGACCCCTCTGATCGTTCGAGTTTAAGAGAACAGACCAATAATCACATTTTCCATTTCAGTAATCGAATTCAATCTCACTTCTTTTATTCTTTATCCTAGCCAAACTTCACATACTATTATCTTCCAGTCTAATTTTTTCTTCGAAACTAAGTTTATACCATAATTATAAGGTTAGATCTGGTCATCACTGCACTTCGGTTGGATTTACTTGACTCAGTGATAAAACTTTGTGATTCCATTCCAAAGAAAACTGTAACGCATAAGACCTAGAGATTAACAGTGGTTATCTCCAATAGACATTATTATTGTCCCAAAAACAGATAACCTATGGAAATTATTCTAAACAATTTTTCTATGTGAAACACAACCATGAACATGCATACAGAAATCAATAACGTCCCATAAAGTGCGACTAACCCAGTGATTATAGGATATAAATATAGATTAAACGCGTTGACAAGCTATAAAATATTCTAATATTAACAGCGATAAATTTTAAATGAAAGATTCGTGTAATAAGGATTGGATCGCAAAAGAATTCAGATTTCTTCGTAAAATGTGTATTTTTGAGGAGTAGAGGCAGTCAAACAACCCATAAATATATCCTTCACTAGCCTATGAAGTTGGTCAAGTTACAATACTCGCTTGTTCGAACTAATCTATAAATTTTGTGGCAGTCTGTTGCCACAAATTGCAAGTCTAAATGATCACCTCCAATACATTCGGCTAATACTACCTACAATTAACCTCTTTTTCGGGTTTCAAATCTCTATATATGATCAGTTAAACAATGATTATTGATATACTACTACGTTAGCCGATATCAGCAGATTAGCCAGTGAAGCTTTTGTGACACTAGTTTAAAAAACACTCTCGAAGCATTTTCTTAGGGTTACACCTATTGATCGAATTATCTAACAATGTCCGTCAAGAGAAGTAAATTCATATGTATAATAGAAGAATATAGTTGATAGCCAAAACTTTTAAAGTAATCTAACGAAACGAATTTATTTCTCCATACTTCCAAATACTAACCTACACGAATTCCTATAAGAAAAAAAAACAAGGTGTATTTTATAACAACTCATCATCATCATTATCAACATAGGACCAGGCATTACTGCGTAACGGTCCGAGTTGCCACACCTCATATCAGCACATCAAGTAAAAAGGTAGTGAGGTAAAGGATGAAGATAAGTGAATGCAGTCAAAAGAAATATAAAGTACGAGAAGCAAAGGAAGAATGACGAAATGGTGAGAATCGGTATGGTGTTAAGATAAGGATAATGTGTGTATACATCTGTGCCACTGACTTCGGTTCTGAGCCATATCACCTAGGGTCTCCAACCACTGGTTCCTCTTGTCCCACGGACCCCAACCACCCAGTCTGCATCGCCGCACATGGCTTAAACCAACAGTCAGATACTTCATGCATTGCTGCCATGTTTCAGTCTGGCCACCTCGGCCTTTTTCCAGCCTGGACCCACCTCAGCCAACATTGTGTGACGAGGCAATCGGTGACTAGGCATACGTAGTACGTGTCCCAACCATCTCAGTCGATGAAGGTTCACTGACTTACCTCTTCTCCCCAAAACTCTACACCTAACTTCTGCATTACTCATGTGGTGACACCACGGAATACGGCCTATATTACGAAGGCAACGGTGGTCAAACACCTGAAGCCTTCTCATGTCTTCCACCTTCAATGGCCATGTTTCACAGCCATACAGTAGAACAGAGCGGACTGCTGTGCAGTACACGCGACCCTTAATAGACAAACGGATATCACGACGGCGCCATAGGTGGCGCAAATTGGCAAAAGTCAATCGAGCCTTTTGTATCCATGCTGAAATCTCATCGGCAACTAACCCACCGGGGTTGATCCTACTTCCCAGGTAAGTGAAGTGGTCAACACACTCAACCACTTCACTCTCTATTATTGAGTTGAATTCTGTTAGTAAGTCTATTGTAAGCTTCATCGGGGGTTCTTTTCATTCTTGTATAAATAAAAATTGGGAAGTGATTGATGATACCGTCCAATCTGTTCCAGATAAACTAACTAACACTGGTAAAAAAAGCAGCAATTCAATGTTTTAAAAGTACACTGAAGCATTAACATACCATCACAAAAAAACATATCCCAAATTCGCAGTACAGCTGCCCAAGGTAAAGTTCGAGTATAGGCGCACATGAACCATTCCAAGACAACAAGATTCGGTTCCACTGAATATTTTCGCTAGACAATGAATGAAAAAATAAGAACATGTACTAAAAGATGCAAATGCAAGTCATACAGTACTTGTACCTACCAATGAAGAATATTCGTGTAATAGTTTAACATTATGCGAAAAAATAAAAAAAATTAGTACTTGAAGCTGAAAGCTTTTTACAACTAACAATAAAAGCATATAAACCACTGAGGATAGAAGAACTAAGTTTTGACAAAGTTATCCAGAAAATGCATACAGTTTTTAGAATGAAGTTTGTCAACTCCCCTCATGAGGTCCATAAAGTATGCTGAATCTAACTGGAAACTCAGTGACAGATTCCCGAGAATCGTGAAAAATTTATATGAAATGCTTAACGTTTAAAGTTGATACAAATTGTAGCAGAAACGCTTCTGTTTAGATTTAGTTTTACTATACGCCAAAAATTCACCAGTAAAATGAACAAGGAAACTCAGTTTGAGAGATTATATTATCAAATATCTTAACTGAAACTAATGGAGAGGTAAGGTCGATTTATTGATGTTATCAATTAGTAACACCATCTGAATACGTTCAGATTTCAAAAGTTTTATCCACAGATCACCAGACATCTATCAGAAAGCTCGTTACAAATAAGACAGCAGTAATTCTACAACCGGGTATGCACAAAGTTAAAGCAAATTTGGACGATTCCGTTACATTACGAACTGATCGTCCAAAGAAATACATGATTGAAACAACAGAAAGGTGAGTTACGAGGAAATCGAGGAAATTCTCGAAGAAGAAAGTAGCTTACAATGAAATGAAGCGTCGAAGATCTAGGATGTTCTATTTCAGTGGTTTAGTGAATGTACAAATTATATTTTCAAGCTAAATTCCCCTACAATCATCCCCGTCATAATACGTGGCGTCTATCCTACAGCGAATTAAGAAATTCTGTCTAAGCGTTGATAAAATAAACCCACATAATTATGATGGATATTACGACATGTTGTAAATAAGTATATGAAGAAATGAAACCATCACCCAAGAAGATTCTAGTTATCAAAATTACGGCAACAAATTCGAAAAAACTGATGTATTTTTGTTAAAAACTGAGAACAGATAACAGCATCATTATATGAACGATACATAATATCAGAGAAGCAACAGCAAATATTTGGTCGAATTCGGGAATACTCAGATAACCGGCTAATCAGTCAATCGGTATAAAAGTATGACCTGAGAGAGTCACACTTAGTATCAACAGACCAAGGTCAACGGCATTGAGATGAAAAACAGAAAAATAAGGAAGAAAGTAGTAAAAGGTGGTGAGAAGTCTTGATAAGGAGTCAAGAGGAAAATAATCAATACTGAGGTTCGATATCACGATTGAGATGAAGATATCGTGCGAATGAATACGCCCCACTAACATCACATTTTGATACTTTTTTAACTACATTAAAATTGGACGTTCGATATCTTCTCTGTTGATGATAAGCTTTCTGTTCTATAGCCGATACAATTTCCAAATTACGCTTCTCATTACTTTCTCTTTCCAAAGTATCTGATAAGGAGTACTTGGGATATTCGGAAAAGCGACAGTATTTCGCGACATTTAACAGAATCATTGGGTCAAAAAAATAGCGTCACCATCGTGAAACAATTTCAGGATGGTTATTCAGGATTCTCAAGATGTTACTTTCACACAGAAAGACAGACAGGCAGAATCAACGTAGAATCTCACATAAAAGGATATCCCTTCAATCTGCCACACTCCACAGTAGCGTACAAACAACAAGTGGATAGGAAAAGTGATATCAAAGTAGAAAAAGCTATGTGAGAGAATAAACAATTTGAAGATAACTACAAGTGCGAATATTCAAGCTTCAAAAGATATCAAGGAGTGAATACATCTGAGCGATTGTGACCGGTTTTCAGCCACGTCACCTAGAGTTCTCAATCACTGATTCCTATGGTCCCGGTGACCCCAACCAGGCAGTCTACATCTCCACACACGACTCAGGCCAACACTCAGGGTATTCATCGATTGGCGCTACGTTTCGGAATCGCCACCCTCACCCCCTTCCAACCTAATACAACTTCCCCTACCATAGCATGTCGACATAGGCGGTGATTCAACATGTGCAGTAGATGTCTGAGCCATCTCATTTGATGAAGGTTCACAACCTCATCAATCGACTCGCTCTCTTTGCCTACTCCTCTTCGCCTGACCTTGAGATTCTTCACAAGATGATTCCACCAAACGCAAGCAATGCTACGAAAACACTTGTAATCACTTGTAATCCTCTAATCGCTTCATGTCTCCTACGTTTAACGACCACGTCTCAGCAGTACACCAGGACAGAATGGATTACAATGTAACAAACTCATCCTCTGATAGTTAGTCGGATAATTCGCCACTCGGCTCTACAAGTGATGCAATTTAGCTAATGACAAATAGACCTTCTGTATCCGAGCTGAGATTTCGTCAGCAGCCACCACGTTCAGGCTGATACAACTCTCTAAATAAGTGAAGTGGTCGATACATTCAACTACTTCACTCCCTATCATTAAACTGGAAGTACTTGGAGCAGACCACTCCTAGAGTATCATCTTACATTTGACAGGTGAAACCAAGACGCATGCCCAACGCCTTCACAAGAGCCTACCTGTTTTTTGTCAGCGTCTTCTTCAAGGAGGGCAATATCGTCTGAATTCTGCAAGCCAACCACATGACTTCAAAGGAGTAGGTCAATCCCTGTTAAGCCGGACGTGTCTAAGGTTATGGCAATTAGTGCGTCTATAAGGTGGGTAAATAAGAACAGTGACAACGGGTAGATACCACTAGTTGCTGTCAAATCATATGACAACTCTCCATGAGCCCTGACACGTCTGTATGATTTCGAGCAGAGTTTTGGTTAGCGTTATACACTTGTTCGGTACTCTTTTTACAGTTAGACACTGCCAGAACACTTCACAGTTGACAATGTCAAATGTCGCCTTCACGCTAACAAGTTAGCAAGCGACGGCCACTGGCCGGTAAGTATGTCTGTAATCCAAAATCTATCGGAGGGCAAAATATGATCAATGCAATCTCGTCCAGATATGTCTGAAACCTGTCTGGTTTTAGGCGTCGGATAACTATGGACCCATGGATCTTCGGCACAACATTAGTCAAACTATTTCAAAACTTGCTTGTCACAAGAAGATTTCTCTCCCTTCTTATAGATTGGGATGATCAGAGAAGTACACCGGTCGGATGGGACTATCTTTGATTCCCATACAATACGTAGTATGTTTGCCAACCTAGTTAGGAATTTCTTGCCTCCGTTCTTGAAAACTTCGAGTTACAAACTGTCAGTTCCTACTGGTCTGCATCGTTTCAGGTTCGAAACAGCCTTCTCAACTTCGAAAAGAGTCACAAGAATGACATCTGCATCCTATTCAGATTCAGGCTGGATGTTGGGCAGCTGAAGTGTTGCTAAAGGAAAGTTTAACAGCACTTCAAAGAGTTCTGCCCAACATTCTAGCCCGTCTACGCTGGGAGGATTATCCGTGTCATATCCTTTCAGGTGAAGGTTTATGCTTACAATCGTCTTCTTCTTGTTGGTATCCGTGAGAAGCTTAAATAGTTCCCGAGTGTTACCAAACGCTGATGCCTTCTCCATCTCCCTCGTTTTCGTCACCCACCACTGCTCGTGATCGACGCGAGGACTCTAAGATACCTGCAATCAAAACTCCGTTATCGCTTCATGTCTCCTACTTCAAACAGCCATATCTCACAGTCGTATAACACGTAGAACGGAGTGCAGTGCAGTATACTCGTCCTCTCATAGACAATCAGACATCTCGACAGCCGGCGCCACAGATAACGCAAGTTGCTCATTCCCTAACGCCATTTCTGCATACGAGCTGAGATTTCGTCAGCAACCACCACGATCGGATTGATGCAACTCCCCAAGGAGGTGAAGTGGTCGACACATTACAACACATCACTCCCTATCTATCGTTAAACTGGGAGCAATTGCAGCAGACCACTCCTGGAGCATCATCTCACATTTGACAGGTGAAACCGAAGCCCATGCTAAACACACCCAGATTTCTGCTTAACCCCTTCACAAGACCCTCTATTTTGTCGGCAACTTCACCCAGCAGGACAATATCGTCTGCATTCTACAAGTCAGCCGATGACCTCCAGGGAGCAGGTAAATCGCTGTGAAGTCTGAAGCTGGGTGACACAGGTGACAGTGGACATCCCCGACAGACACTAATGATTGTCCTCAATTCTCATGACAATTCTCCATAAGACTTCACACACGGCTGTGTGAGTTCGAGCAGAGAGGTTTGATGAGCATTACATACTTGTTCGGTACTTCCTTCATAGTCAAACACTGCCAAAAAACCTTACAATCGACAGTGTCAAATGCTGCCTTCAGGTCAAGAAATATGGCAAGTCATAGCCACTGGCTGGTGTGTATACCTATTTTCCAGGACACACTATTGGATAAAAATATGATCAATGCACTCTAGTCTAGTTGTCTGAAACCAGTCTGGTTTTCTCAACTTCCAGTTGGGCGTCGGTGATGATTTCACTCAAAATCTTGTTACCAGTATTCCTAATAACCTTGAATAGCTACCGAGTGTTACCCGCAGATGATGCCTTATCCTACTCTCTCGATTTCGTCACCCACCACTGCTCGTGATCGACAGCGAAGACTCTAAGTCAACTTACACCCAGCTTGCTTTCGCATCTCATTGCAGTCAGAGCTCACTCGAAACAGTCTTCTCGCACCAATCAGTTCCAATGATGTCGCAGAAATCCAATGACATTTCATAACATTCGGGTGTAGCTTACCACCTGTCTTTACCATTGTTTCTACAGCACACTTAATATCATGCCAGGTTTCCACAGGATGAGCATAGCTGTCATGTTCAGATAATTGCTCACAACTTCTCTCTAAATGTGTACATGGCGTCCTCATCTACCAACCAATCGAGTACAGATAGGTCTCACTACTCCCTTCTCTTTCCTACGGCCGGCAAGGTACAGACACACACCAGCCCGTACTAGCTCATGATCGCAGTCCAAACTGGTACACCAGAAACAGCCGCAGTCCTCCACCGATCCTCTCCAACGATGGCTTATCGCAATATCATCAATCTGTCAATTTCAATCTGTTGATTTCATGTCGGTGGATACTGTCTCTTCTTATGCTTAAACTTAGTGCTGGCTAGAAACAAGTGATTGTCGGAACAAAATTCCAACAATCACCGTTGTCGATTCGTTGAAATGAGATTCCATAAATACCTCAAAGATGTCTAGCCGATTCGTTCACTTCACATTCCTTACTGCAGTGTTAAAGTCACTTGCCATTTTGACTACATCTGAACGTTTTGCGTTATATAGCAAGCTTGACAGCTTTGCATTGAACTCGTACTTCGCATCATCCGAACTACAGTCAGTGGCGACGTAGGCAGAGGTTACGAACAGGTATCGCCTAGTCTCACAATCCTTCATAATCATTACATACCCATTCAGTCGAACAGCACATAGACGGTTGTTAACGGGTGTCCAGTTGAGAAGCGCATTCTCTCCCCTACACCTCAGTGTTGTGCATACACCGGTGACTCTACAGTAGCTGGTCATTGGGTCTCCGGATACTCTCCGGGTGAATTTTGATGATTCACTACTATGACCAGCTCAGGTCAATTTAGTAACCACACTCGGGTCCTGTATACGTGTCTCACAGATACGGTCACAGATTTTAGAAATTTTGGCGGGCGACTCTTGCTATCTGATTTGGCATAGAGGTCAGATGTTGAAAGTGCTTCCATGAAATCGGTGGTGGGTGGTATCTTAGGAGACTAGGAATTAGTTTCAAATGGCTTTGATCGTTGACAGTGGTTGCAGAGCGAGAGGTTAGATTAGGCGTAAGAGACTTAGTATTGGTATCAGAAGGTGAAGGTAAAGGAGGAAGCAGAGTTGAGGAGGATAGGTTATGTTTGATTGGTCCTTGTGTACTACTGGAAACGTGGGGGTGGTTGAAACTTCCCAGCTGCCCACAACGTAGAGGGCTATTTCTTCTTAAGGTATCTGAAAGAGATTTGTGTGACTGCAGAGCCCACACGACGTCTGCTTGTAACTGGCCACACATAACCTTTCTGGAAGTTTGAGATTTTGGCTTTTTGCTTTCAATTCCGACTATGAATTGTTGTTCCAGGCATCGGCACGCTGCGTAGGGGTGGGAGTGTGTTATTTTTGAGGCCAATCTTTTCTAATCACCTTTTCTTACAGAAGGCGGCATCAGTGCTGAACTGATGGTAATCTAAGAGAAACACCTTACTTCTGTCGCACCTCCGTCTAGTCAGCAGCATAACTTTTCCCTCAGACCCCCATCATAGTGTAACAGTTTACACCATAATGGTAGTTGCTTTCTCTCTAACTACTACCCAACAGACCTTTCTGGTATGATAGACCCTCGAGGGAACAAGTGTTTCCCCACGACAGCTCGTTGGGTCATTGTGATATGCAAGCCGCGCCACAAAGCCAAGGTGGCAGCTATCGGTTGGGTTACCTTCATTAACCTACTACAAATAACATTTCCAGTTGCTATATGGTGGACATTTATGCTTTAGCGTTACTGTATGTTTCCTCATAGCATTATTTTCCAACATGTTTCCTATATCTCTAGACTTTAGTAGTCAGTTTTCTGAAATAGGGTTAGTCAGTGTCATAGTTCTTTCTATACCTTGTTTCAAGTCTACCGATCTGCATTTTCGTTTGGCTAATCTGGGGCTCGTCCTTAGTGGTCAACCACGTCATCTTCCAAAACACAAAGTTTGGGTACACAAGTTTTCGTAATAGGATAATGTCCTCTGTGAACTCAGAGTGAACCAGGTTCTCTCCTGGAAATAAGCTAATCTCCGTAAAATGGAAGCTACTTAGGGTTTTGTTCATTAGCACGTCTACAGCACAATAGAACGGGAACGGTGATAGTGCACATCCCTGATGGACACCCTTGGTTGTCGTGAATGCGAATAAAAAATTATCATAAGCCCTTAACACAGCTGCGTGAGTCTCATCAGAGACCTTTGATTAAGGATAATATGCTTGATACTTCCTTCACAGATAGATATTACCAAAACAACTCACGGTTGACCTTCAGGTCAAGAAATATGTGTCGAATACCAGAAAATATGTCTGTGTTTTATAACTTGTCAAAGAGTGAGGACTTGATGGATGCGCCTTGGTAAATGATGATGGTACTAAATGGGTCCCACAGGAAGTAGATATCAGTAAACAATATCCCGTTCCACAATCCTTTGGAAAGCTATGAAGATTCTTCCAGTAAATACAACTGTATCGGTTTTATAACTAGTGTGACTAATTATCTCAGCAACTACTAGAACGAGCTGGAGTATGCCAGATGAACCAGGCGGGCCTTGACAAACTGAAGTATGTTCTTAGTTATGAAACTCTCCTCGGTTATCACGAATCACATGCACTATTAGTATGCATCATAGAACCTCAAATGTTACTGTAAGTGCAGTCTAACAACAATATAGCCTCCGTCAATATGAACCGTTGTCCTTCCTCAGAACGCACTAATGCCACACAGTCACGATAGAATACATTTAGTAGAGAATTATTAGCTGTTTTCTTAGCTACCAAACATTTCAAACATATGCTTGAAGATGACGTTTTTACAGTATTCACAGACCATAAGCCTTTAACATAAGCAATTGATGCGAAGCTTGAGAATTATTCATAACCGGAAATACGACATTTAAAACTTATTTCATAATTCATTGCCAACAAAAGGCACGTTAAAAAACAATAGAAATAAAGTAGCTGAAACTTTATATCGTATCTACATAGATGTCTTGAAAGCGCCCATACCAACCTTTTCAGAGATGGAAAAGTTTCAAGCGACAGATGAAAGTTTAAAAAAATCAGAAGGGAATCTAAATTATTCAGTGTGTCTTCAAAAGGCTAAGCTAAACGACTTTTTGTCCATCAGTTGTGATGCACCTAAGGGCAAACAACGCCCCTTTGTACCTCTACCAATGAGACAATTAATCTTCTCTAAGATGCGTGATATTTCTCATCTTGGTATTCACTCTACGATACAGTTAACTGTCTGGGATATTAAGAAAAGCGACAGTATCTCGAAAGCCTCAGTATAAAGACAGCTCATATACGGCCCCATATGATGACGATAAAACTGTCGGTACCAGATATACAGCTTATAACTTCTATAGATGCAAGTGATTTGGAAAAAGACATGGTTTTAAAGAAAACTGAATGGGTTGTTGAATACGTCAGTAGTGTTTAAGTGCACCAATATCCCAAGCAATTCAAACAAGAAAAAAAAAAGAGGAACTTGCCGTCTGGAAGTTGATTTGGCCCCAGAATTCACTTTGCAGAATCTAGTAGGATGTGTGGTTTTATAGTACTAAGAAGTTGAAATTAAGGTTAAATTAAACCCGCTTTTAATTACTAGATGATCTCCTGCATAGCTATGGACTCTATTCAAGATTTCAATAAGTAAGATATTCACTTTAGTAAATAAGCGCTAAAGGCGCATTAATTGACTGTTATTTGATAGGCAGGAAGAATTTTAATGTTTGAAAATATCTACTCAATGAATAATCGTAAATATTTCTTAAATTTTACTAGCCAACGCTAAAAAAGCAGAACAGACACCAAAATCAGCGCAAAAGCATCCATCAATACTATGGGATTCATGGAACTAGCTTAAATTTCAAACACTATTGCCGAAATTCTAGTAGATCGTATAACTATCTATTCGACCTTGATAATTAACCAATACTTTATTAGATATAAAAGCAACAGTTGAAAGGATATTAGGTCAAGATAATAAGAAACTCACCAAAAACTTGTATATAGGAGGATATATTGACTTTAGAAGAGCATATAGAACTTCACCATCTATCTGAACTCGTTCCTATGTTAAGAATATTTAAAAAATGAAGTCAGTCATTCATAGAAGAAAACATGTACAATGTAATAAATGAGAATGGTTTGCCAGAATTATAAATTATATTTGGTTGTCCTAACTGGAGAGAACTCATTGAATTTGCAAATGTCACTCATGCTGTCAGCGTTAAGCCACTAGATTGTCGGCTACAGCTTTAGTTTTGAGCTGAAAAACGATTGAAAATTTCTACCCCTGAGTGTTCGAAATAATAGCTTCAACTTTGGGTAGCTAATGAGAATGGTCATGTAAGTTTGAAGGCAGTGTGAATGTTGTTCGGCTTACCCATTTCTGACAGAGTAGTACAGATTACCACGTTGTTAAGTAGTGCTAACCGGCTCATAGGTACGAATGACAAGAAACATTTACCGGTAACTTAGGCTTTTTTCTTCAAACAATGGGTCATAAGCGTCGTCCCACTTCAACCAAAACAGTCGTTTTGTCATAAATCTTTACACATCAGGTGTGACTCATGACCTAGTACATATAATCCTGCATCCGGTCAAGTTACATTAGTTTTTTAAGCGCCGAAGATGTGGAGTGACTATAAAGGGATTTGTAAGAACTATCGAAATAAACAATGAGGTTTCTCGGTTTCGTGACAAACTCCCTTTCTAGCTGAAATAGAGAAATTTCACTGGTTATTTTAGTGGTTGCCAGAATGACTTTGAGTTCCCCAGGTCTAGTAACTCTAAAAGTCCCCTTAACAACGACTTAAATAGTAGATTACGTTTCTTTATTGTTTGTAAAAAACTGTGCTTTTCTAAGCGAAACACGAATATATAACTAGTTATTCATTAGTTGATAGGGTGGCTTTAGAACCACTTGTCTACGCAACTGTGATCAAGTTTTTGTAAATATCGATACTTTATCTTATGCAAACAAACTTGATTGAGGGGCTATATGTTTAGGAAGGCTTGGGATTGTTAGATCATGTAAATACGCAAATTGAAGTTATCTTCATTCCTGTGCTGGTCAGAGAATATTAGTCCTAATTCATACAAACTGAGAATTTCGGTTACGGTACAGCATAATACCACATTACAAAAACGGCAAAGTAACCTTGAGAGGTTTTGATATCATGAATGGGATATTATATTATAAACTTGATAGGGATTAACTGATGAGAAAAAAAGGATTATGAAGTTTACTCGGAAAATATTTGACTGAATTTTACGTTGGTTTTAGCTTCCAATAGCGAAACTCATATTCTTTAAAGAAGAATTAAAAGCTGATTCTTAAATTTCAACCTATTTGTAAACAACCGAGAAGGATACACCTATTTTTATTTTATTTAGTCTGCAAGTACTGCATAGTCGAAAGAATAAAACAAAACAATGTTACAAAAGACTTACTAGACCATCATCATAGTAAGATTCTAAGTAACGTTCACAAATTTCATTGAAAGTCCAAAAAGCGTCGACTTCGGGCATAAACATTAGTAAAACAGCTGCTAATGGGGCTTGACCCTGACAATAACCTTTCTCTGGATGCCGAATGGTATATGCTTTCAGCAAAGTGTATAAGCTTTCTTGACTAAAAGAATATCACAAAAGAGAATTTATAACTTATTTTGCATGTTTTTGACAGTGACTATAGGTCTCAAGGACCTAGATGAGAATAAACCCTAGAAAACAAAAAAAAATCGACAGAAATTTCCACCTATACCCGAGTCAAAAAATATTCACCGAAATATAGGAAGAAAGTGAAATTTAAGTAATATTCGAAACCATGCTTCCTTAATGCTGGATTCCAAAACTTGAAAAAATCTGAAGTCACCTTAAGTTTCAGTGGGGTTCAACGTTGGACCTGGCATTACGGTGTAACAGTTCACGTTACCATACGTTACATCAAGGTAGAAAGCAGCAAGGTGATAGAGAAATCCAGAAGGGAGAGGAAAAGAGTAGCCAAAGTGATAGAAAGTCGTGAAACGGAAACAAGAAGTACGTAGATATAATAAGATTCACTATAATGATTTACATGAAGATAATGTGACGATGCATCTTTAACACTGACATCGCTTCCGAGATGTATAACCATCATCTTTAAATAACGATTTCGGTCTTCACACGGATGCCAAACTGGCAGCCGACATTGTATACACGGCTCAGACTAATAGTCAAAGACTTAACTAGTGCCATTTTTTAGTCTGTCTGTCTTTAACCTATTTCTGACGGCTAGAATCAGTCATATATCTACTCTACAACAGGTTCTCAAAAACCTAGGCACAACTGCCAGTCAGTGGTCGACACTTGACAAATTTCTTGACATAAAGGTAGCATTCGACTCACATGACCATGAGGTGATGTTACAGTGTCTAACTGTAAAAAGAGTACCGAACAAGTGTATAACGCTAACCAAAACTCTGCTCGAAATCATACAGACGTGTCAGGGCTCATGGAGAGTTGTCATATGATTTGACAGCAACTAGTGGTATCTACCCGTTGTCACTGTTCTTATTTACCCACCTTATAGACGCACTAATTGCCATAACCTTAGACACGTCCGGCTTAACAGGGATTGACCTACTCCTTTGAAGTCATGTGGTTGGCTTGCAGAATTCAGACGATATTGCCCTCCTTGAAGAAGACGCTGACAAAAAACAGGTAGGCTCTTGTGAAGGCGTTGGGCATGCGTCTTGGTTTCACCTGTCAAATGTAAGATGATACTCTAGGAGTGGTCTGCTCCAAGTACTTCCAGTTTAATGATAGGGAGTGAAGTAGTTGAATGTATCGACCACTTCACTTATTTAGAGAGTTGTATCAGCCTGAACGTGGTGGCTGCTGACGAAATCTCAGCTCGGATACAGAAGGTCTATTTGTCATTAGCTAAATTGCATCACTTGTAGAGCCGAGTGGCGAATTATCCGACTAACTATCAGAGGATGAGTTTGTTACATTGTAATCCATTCTGTCCTGGTGTACTGCTGAGACGTGGTCGTTAAACGTAGGAGACATGAAGCGATTAGAGGATTACAAGTGATTACAAGTGTTTTCGTAGCATTGCTTGCGTTTGGTGGAATCATCTTGTGAAGAATCTCAAGGTCAGGCGAAGAGGAGTAGGCAAAGAGAGCGAGTCGATTGATGAGGTTGTGAACCTTCATCAAATGAGATGGCTCAGACATCTACTGCACATGTTGAATCACCGCCTATGTCGACATGCTATGGTAGGGGAAGTTGTATTAGGTTGGAAGGGGGTGAGGGTGGCGATTCCGAAACGTAGCGCCAATCGATGAATACCCTGAGTGTTGGCCTGAGTCGTGTGTGGAGATGTAGACTGCCTGGTTGGGGTCACCGGGACCATAGGAATCAGTGATTGAGAACTCTAGGTGACGTGGCTGAAAACCGGTCACAATCGCTCAGATGTATTCACTCCTTGATATCTTTTGAAGCTTGAATATTCGCACTTGTAGTTATCTTCAAATTGTTTATTCTCTCACATAGCTTTTTCTACTTTGATATCACTTTTCCTATCCACTTGTTGTTTGTATGCTACTGTGGAGTGTGGCGGATTGAAGGGATACCCTTTTGTGCGATATTCCACGTTGATTTTGCTAGTCAGTCAGTTAGTTAACTAGGCGTCGAACGAAGTGTAGAAAACGCGATGGGAACCATAATATTGAAGAAAGAAGATAGTGCGACATCAGGGGAACGAAAAACAGAAAACGCTTAAAAAACAGTAGTCAGGAAATGCATTCAAGAAGCTTTCATTTTTTCTGTAAGACGTTTGATTCTATCTATGTAAGGTGTAACTGTTTATTAAAAGATTAGTTTGATCGTAAGTAATAAGCCCTGCCAAGCATAATCACTGTAAGGTTTGTATATTCAAAGCAAGAGATATGTGCGAAAGATGTTATTTCCAATTGGGTCTCAGGTTTTATTTTAATACAGGTAATTGAACTTCTGTATAAAATATTTAACCAATCATAATGAGTTTTGAGTTTGTGGTACCTGCTGCCTTATCATGTTGAGAAGTCATCGTCCTATCGTTAATTGTATCGCATCGGAGCATTATATCGTTCATATGTACCACAGAACAAAACAGAGATATCTGTGTTATTGTAACCGACTTCTGCTAACATTGCATGTTGAGGTATGCGGTGACTCAGCATATGGAACACATATCCAAGCTACGTCAGTTGGTGAAGGTTCACAACCTTATTGAATGAATTGCCTGTCTTGCCTAGCACCCTGACCTAACATCGATATTACTAACATGATGATTCAACGATACACCATAAGCAATTCAAAAACCTGTAGATTTTTCATATCTTCTTTTAACGGTAGTGTCTCACAGTCGTATAATAGAACAAAACGAACTGCAACATAGTACTTTTATCCTTTAGTGGATAGTTGAATAAGTCGCCAGTTGGCGCCAGAGATGACGCAAGTTGGCATGTGGCAAACGAGCCTTCTGACCAACAACGAAGAGTGATTTTATCATGTACACAATATCGACTCCCTTTTTGGGAATGGGATAAAAATTTCAAAGATGGTATCACCATGTTAAAACTATCTACATGTATGAATTTATATTAGAGTGTAATGGTTTGATTAATATTTAGTTGCTAATTCCCATAATTCATTTCATCTGTATAACTTGTATGAATGATTATAGTATGGCTTTATTTGGTTGAAAACAAACAGATATACTCGTTCGCACAATTCGTATGCACTACAGTAAAATTTAATTTTCATCCAAATAAAAACAAAACTGAATTTTAAATATAGGAGACCAATGAGAATATGTACGTATTTTAAATATTCCAAATGTGATCGAATAAAAATAGATTGACTTTCATAAGATAATTTCAGTTTTCAATAGTTTTGATATATTGTAAACATAAATTAAGTTTTGAATTCGCAATGATAAAATGTGGAAGTTAATGTACATAGGTTGGTATTAGAAATAAGTAAAAGGCAGACTTTCTAAAAACAGGAGCCAATAGTCCATAGTAACCCATAGATCTATGCAAGTAAGGGCTTTAGAACATATTCCAAAGTGGCTTCAGAAGCAAATTAAATCGCCTGAACGCATAAACGTGGATGTCCAAGTTCTTCGATGGCGAAACATATCATTGAGACAGCTTACAGGGTTGATGTGGCTACTTCCTCTAGACCTATTTACAAAACGTGATGGGAATGGATCCCTAAATTTGTTGAGGTCTTAGCTATTAGAAAGTTCAAACCACCTTTGTGTGTTCATAAACAATTTTTTTTATCACATTAAATCTTCATTGGTGAATTCAATTATGAAAACCAAGTTCGATGTACTATTATCTTCGTTTTACTGATTTTCATTGCTATATGGACTTCAATTCAGCCTTCCTACTTGACCCGTTTTCATTTTCTCATCCCTTATCTTCATGAATTTTCATATAAATACTTGTGAAAAACAAGTACGGGTGTGATCAGATAGTTCGAAATATGTTGCGCAAATACATTACACGGTTCAGATAATTTACGTCTTGTTATTGTTTTATCATAGTAATTTTTTTGATTTCAATTTCGTCAGTTATCGGGAGAAAGACCAGTAATATTGGACAACATGAGATGGAGATTGTACTCGAAGTCCACTCAGCAACCTTGCGGATGTTCATGCATTAGGCAATGAGCCACACCTATCACATGAGGGGTAATGATACTACCTGGCTGCACAAATATTGGTAGATGGAGCGGTGTTCTACCCACTGGTTGAAAGTCAACTCCCTAAACCAATACGCCACAATTTAAACAATACACGAACTTTTCGAATGATTGATGTGAAATTTCAGAAGAGGTTAATTGAACCAATGGGATATTTTCAAAACGTTTATTAAATTGTATGATCTTCTGTGTGAACTCTTGAAGTGTTGCACTCTCACACGACGTTTCATGTTGATTTGTCCATTTTCAGTACATCTGTATACTTCTGCCGAAGAAGCCATGAATAATATGATGAAACGTTTGGAAAAATCTTGTTTTAAAATTTTAAACACCGACGTTAGCTATATAAAAATTCTCAAACATTGTTATTCTCGATGATTTTAAATCATTCAATAATCTCCGGCTAAATTCGGCATGAAAATACATTTAATCACTTCTGAAAAACCACTTCCATGAAGGTGAAATGACAATCAGATGTCCGACATAACACAATTTGCGGATGATCACAAGAAAGTACTTCACTCTAACGCTACTGTAAATCCAGCTATACTAACCATCAAAATATTTTCTGTTTTAACTGCCTAATCCACTATTATATATTAATGACGGATTGTGACAAGCAGCGGAGTCCAAAACGCGTACTTTATTTCATTTGAGACTCGTCAGCTGAATGTACCTGCCTACCAGTAAGCGATATTGTTACCACTAAGACTCGGACCAGGGGGTCGATCGCTCCGAACGCCAGGGAGTTACCCACCAAGCCACAAAGTCACGATAGTGGTAATTAGAACATGCCAAAGAGAAAATCCAAATCCTTTTTGGTGTTACCGCATGATGAAGACGTATTGGAAATTTTATACAGGATTTTTAACAATGTTCGGATTAGGGTAGTATGTAGACCTACACACTCACTCAGAGAGAAAATGTGTAGGCTAAAAAGTTCATTAGATTCAATTAGACCAAATAACCTAATCTATCAAATGCCATGTAATGATTGTGAGGCCAAGTATATAGGACAAAGTAGCCAAAAGGGGGTCAGTAAGAATAGTGGAGCACAAAAATTTAGCGAAATCCAGAATGTGAGACCCAACTAAGAAAAGTAATTCAGAGAAAAACTGGACAGTCGCTCTGCATGCACTGATTTGTTATCACACTATAGGATAACAGTTCTGAAATCTAATATAGCTAGTTGGAGGGAAAGATTGATGACAGAAAATTTGTCCATTGAATCACTATCTAACACATGTAACAGGAATGACTCATATTAAAGATATTTAGAAAAGTTTACGTCATTTAAAATAATAGAATGAAGATCTGTTGGACTATATAAGTGAAGTTTGGAGGTCACATGATTGCCCTGATGAGCAGTTAATCCTGCTCGAAACGTCATCCCGTAAATAATGTTGTATCATTGTGTGCTATATCGAATAAACAATCTAATATGGGATTCCAATCTACCATATAACCAAGTTTTACTCTTACATGGGTAAAATCCCTTGGTTTACATTACAAAATATATACAAGGCAAGAAAAAGACGAAATACTTTCTTTTCAGTTGGATTGCATAAGCTATGGGGAAAAGTATCAAACCATTAGGGATTTACAAGGCGAAAATCGAAAATAAGTAAAACATTAGAAACGTACACCACACAAACAAATGTCACACATTCGGACTCAATATCTGTGATAATCTAATGCCTAATGATATTTTTCATGTAGTAACTAAACAGTTGTGTTGATATGCAAGTTAAATAGAACGCCCCACCAACATATTCGAACAGGTATCTAGACTTCAAATCATCCCATCCAATGTCAGTTAAGGCAGGATTAGTCAAATGTCTACATGACAGAGCTAGAAAACTGACCAGTCAGAGCAAGAACCTAAACAAGGAATTGAAACACGTAAAAGAAGCAATAAGAGTTAATAATCATCCTCCACAGTTTATTAAGAAATTCTTACGGACACACAAAAAACGAAAAAATAACAGTCACACAAGTGCGACTAATAACGACAACACGAGTTAAAAGGAGTTCATAGCCTCCATTGTATTACCCTATAAGGAGGGTACCTCAGAAACTTTAAGTAGAATCCTCAACAGAGCTGGAATTAGGATGGCATCTAAACCTACAAACTCACTCAGAGATAAACTTTGTTGGCTTAAGGACCCAATATAACCAATTCAGCAAAATAATATAATCTATGAAATTCGATGTAATGACTGTGAGGTCAAGTACATAGGTCAAACTAGTCGGTCAGGGTCAGTTAGAATAGCCAAACATAGGAATTTATCTAAGTATAGAATAACAGACCTAAATAAGATGAATAATCTAGAAAAAGACGGCTATTGCTATGCATGCATTAACACACAACCACACAATAGGGTGGGATAAGTTCAATATAATTAGGTGAAGAGAGAGATTGATTACCGAATCTTTGTTCATCGAATCAACACACAATACACGTAATAGAAATGATGCAACATCTATACCAGGGATTTTACTACAAATAAAATCAACTCATAAGGTGTGATTACATTGATAAGATTATGAGCAATAGTTTATGCTCGAAACGTGATCAAGTAAATAATACTATATCACTGTGTCTTATAAATCAAATAAACAAATCTAATATGGAATAAATTCAATACTTTAATGAACGCAGAAAAGAAGGAAGGACACAGGTTTTTGGTGAGAACTTTTACTGTTCCCACAAGCACAAAAATGACAACCGACTTTTGCATATATATACCGAGGTTTTAGCCTCCAGCAAATAGCAGAATACTAATAAATCAAAAGTAATAGATGTTCAGAGAACAATCTTGACAAGGAGCGGAAAAATAAAGGTAAAGGAGGAAAACGAAGTGAAACAAAGATAATTTTAAGCTAACAAGAATAAGTAAGGTGTTGAAAAGGTTATTATACTAGTCTCCTAGGTAAACAGAAAATGCATGATTCACTAAATCTGCACAAAGTACATTAAATTTCACTTTCCCTGTGCATAACTATCTGTCTAGATAGCATTACAATTACCAATAGAAATTGTTAGTTATTAAATGTCCAGTTGAGGGTTTTTGATGATTGACTGATTTCACTGATCACGGATTTTGGTCATCTGGAGAATCAGTGAAAAACTAAGAGTACTATACAGGTGCTTTATAGTAACTTGAAGCTTTTTAATAGTGTGTACCCATGACTACATGAGGTATCGAACCCGGGACTGTTAGATCTTACAACCAGCACATTACCATTCAGTCATCCGGTTGAAATCAATCAATGGTGAAAACGACTCTAAATTATTCTTTTGGTACATACTGAATGAATGAATTAAGTGAAGCAAGAAAGAACATGAAATTATAAAACCTAAATAAATCAATCAATACTTGTTGATTGGATTCCTAGTTTTGATTCATCAAATCACTGTGCATAAATAAGATTTTATCAGTGAATACGTTTCTAAAGAACGTTTGAACGGTTTTGTGCCCTAACATGAACAACTAAAATTTATTATGACATTAAAATTGGCTACAACGTGTTTCACTTAAGATTAATAATTTATACAATAAATTCATAAATAATGCACGTTTAAGACTACTTCATCTACCTGTAGGTTAGTTGTTTGATAGTCATGATGCAATCAGGTGGTAGGTAAGACTTACAGCTAACACAAACTTGTGCACGATTGTTTAGGTATGTCTACTTTATTGGAATAAAACCACACCAACATACGCACACACACACACACAAGAAAAAACAACTTACCCATGACCACCCTTCTTACTGAATAATTCATGAAATGGAAATTGACGATCAATATCACGACGTATTTGTTCACAATTAGATGGTGATCCCTCCTGCATACAATAATTCGTATATAATCTTTCCGGATCTAAATCAACTGATGGCACCAATGTGGCTCTAGCATCCTCAGCCTCACCAGGTTGATGATATGATAAATCGAAATTTGGCGTAATTTGATGTAAGATTGGCGATGATGAAGATGCCACCGATGATGATATTAATATTGAAGTACATGAATCTGTAGATGATGCTTCAAGGATTTGAATTTCATTTTGATAATGATTCGTCCCTGAACTATCTGTACAGGATGTTGTACTTAGACTGGCATATCCACCAGAATTTCTAGTCATTTTCATGTGATTCGATGTCATCTCAGTAGTATCAACATGAGATTCAGGTGAACACGATTTACCATGAACAGACGCTATTGTTGAATAGGCTGAATAAGGTAATGCTTGTTGATTGTACATAGAGTTAACATTGTTCAATGCACTGGAAGGTAAATTGTGAAGACTGCTATGAGTTGTGCCCGATATTGATCTAACTGACTCACCATTGAAAAGAGTTCGTTGCCATGGTGATATTCTTTGTGTATTTGGACTGTCAGAATTTTGTAAGGAAAAAGGAAGAGCTGGAGAATATCCATAACTGTCACGTGAAACAGAAATGATATCTTTATTCCTTCTAATGTACAAGGAATGGGAACTGGAACCTTCAGTTAAACTAGCACCATCAGTTCTGAATATTGGAGAATAAAGTGTATTAATAATTTTTAGTAGCCGTCTAGAGATTTAATATGACATTATAATGTACAGAAATCAATTAGAATAAATTGTATTGTTATGGACGAATGCAAACAGATTTACAGAAAGTTAAATATCTTCATAGTAAACGGAAAAAAATCAAGATACAGTATGTATGTATGATACAAGTTGAATATTATTTAGAAGCTAAAAATATTACTAATCACCATAACGCATGTAACATATAGTTTATGGTACTGATTAGATTTTTGTTACATCATCTAAAAAAGCTGAACTGGAGTGATTTTATCCTGTAAAATAATTGCGAGTCAGCAATCAGAAAAAAATTGTAAAGTTATGTAGATTTAATAGTTCGTCGACACGCTAAATGTCACCAGACCTATTCGTATTATAGTAGACAAAATAACAGTCTTATATACAATAGTAAGAAATCATTAGCTGTTCAGTGACCTTTATTCCAATCCTTGACTAACTGTCGGTTGTTATCCAGTCACATTGTAGTGGGCGTTGCTAATAAGAATGGATATAAGTAGTATATGTTGAGAGTGTGGCAGAAATCATAGGGAATTACCAGCAATGGGTAAGGATTCTGCCAAGAGAAACGAAAGAGACAAGGCAGGCGTATGAAGAGAAAATCAAGAAAGCAGAAGAAGAAATGAAGCATATTTTGCAAGTGACGGTTTTAGTACAAGGTGTACCATATCTAAGGGCTGCTGTACCAATCGTTAACAATAAACATTCCTTCCTTCGCGTATTTCTTTTCGTTTCCTTTCAATATTACTTTGGCCATATTCTTTGCATCTACATAACAGCAAGATTTCAATAAACAATACAGGAAAAACCAGTGGTCAGTTTGTCATTTTCTTTGGGTACTACTAGCCTTGGGTTTTGGGGATAGTCATAACTAGAGTTTAATCAGTCAGTCATTTGATTTTGTGAACACCTATCAACCAGTTACATTATATGATATAACTACAACTGGCATTTTATAAGCTCCAACAAATCAAAATATTGCTTCTCAGCAACTCTTCAATGTAGTCTGGATAGTTAGAGTAGCTAGATAGCCAAAGATAAAATCAGCAAGGTTGATAGCAGAGTAGAAAAACAGACAAATTAACGTGGAACCACGCATAGAAGTCCACCAGTCCAGGTTTTCGCACTTCACAGCAGTATACAAGGGAGAATTGTATGGAAAAACAGATGAGGGATAAGCAGAATATTCAAGACTTCCAAGATGTCACTGTGTCAGGTACGAAACATCCATCACAACTTCGAAGGGAGTTAGTGGATTGACATATACGTCTTATTCAGATTCAGGCTGGATATTGAGAATCTGAAGCGTCGCTGAAAGCCAGCTGAACTGTGCTTCAATGTATTCTGCTCAACATTCTAGCCTTCTGTCTGTCCTAAGAGGTTAGCCGCGTCCCATCCTTTTCGATGATGATTTCACTCAAAATCTTGTTACCGGTTTTCTTGATAACCTTAAATAGATACCGAGTGTTACCCGCAGATGATGCCTTATCCTACTCTCTCGATTTCGTCACCCACCACTGCTCGTGATCGACAGCGAAGACTCTAAGTCAACTTACACCCAGCTTGCTTTCGCATTTCATTGAGGTCAGAGCTCACTCGAAACAGTCTTCTCGCACCAATCAGTTCTGATGATGTCGCAGAAATCCAATGACACTTCATAACATTCGGGTGTAGCTTATCACCTGTCTTTACCATTGTTTCTACAGCACACTCAATATCATGCCAGGTTTCCACAGGATGAGCGTAGCTGTCATGTTCAGATAATAGCTTAACAACTTCTCTCTAAATGTGTACATGGCGTCCTCATCTACCAACCAATCGAGTACAGATAGGTCTCACTACTCCCTTCTCTTTCCTACGGCCTGCAAGGTACAGACATACACCAGCCCGTACTAGCTCATGATCGCAGTCCAAAGTGGTACACCGGATACAGCCGCAGTCCTCCACCGATCCTCTCCAAAGATGGCTTATCGCAATATCATCAATCTGTCAATTTCAATCTGTTGATTTCATGTCGGTGGATACTGTCTCTTCTTATGCTTAAACTTAGTGCTGGCTAGAAACAAGTAATTGTCGCAACAAAATTCCAAAATCACCGTTGTCGATTCGTTGAAATGAGATTCCATAAATACCTCAAAGATGTCTAGCCGATTCGTTCACTTCACATTCCTTACTGCAGTGTTAAAGTCACTTGCCATTTTGACTACATCTGAATGTTTTGCGTTATATAGCAAGCTTGACAGCTTTGCATTGAACTCATACTTCGCATCATCCGAACTACAGTCAGTGGCGACGTAGGCAGAGGTTACGAACAGGTATCGCCTACTCTCACAATCCTTCAAAATCATTACACACCCATTCAGTCGAACAGCACAGGGATGGGTTATAACTGGTATCCAGTCAAAAGGCGCACTTTCTGTCCTATAACTCAGTGCTGTGGATAGATAAAAGAGTCCACAACAGCCAGACACTGTGTCTTCAGATACTCTGCAGGTGAATTTTGAAGACTCACTACTATGACCAGCTCAGGTCAATTTAGTAACCACACTCGGGTCCTGTATATGTGTCTCACAGACACAGCAGAGAAACATGGCTAGAGATTCCAAAGTTTTGGCGAGCGTTGCTTGCTATCTGATTTGGCATAGAGGTCAGATGTTGAAAGTTCCCATATGAAATCTACGGCGGGTGGAATCTTAGGTTTGAATGGTTTCGATCGCTGACAGTAGTAGCAGAGTGAGAAGATGAGTAAGGCGTAAGAGGCTTAGTATTGGTATCAGGAGGTGAAGGCAAAGGAGGCAGAGTTGAGGATTGGGTGTAGAGTACTACTGGAAGCGTGGGGGTGGTTGACACTTACCGGCTGCCGAAACTGTGGAAGGTTGTTCCTTCTAAAAGTACATGAAAAGGAAACATTTTTGTGTGTTCCCAGAGCCTATGGGACACCTGCTTGAAGACTGTCATATACACTCTTTTTCGGGATGTTGTTTTGAGGTTTGGTGACTCTAACGCCGGATGGGAGAAAATCATAGCGCCGGCTCCAGCAGACCGTGGGACAGGGTATGGTCTGTTATTTTTTGGGCCGGCTTTTTGTTACCCCTCCCCCTTTCCTTTGGGAAGGCAGCATCAACGTGGCAATGCTGGTCATCCGAGGGGAACACCTTACTGTTCTTTCACACCTCATTCGGCTAGCAACAGTATGACTGCATCCTCAGACTTCCATCATAGTGTAGTAATTTGCATTACAACGGCAACTGCTTTTCGTCCTACCACTATTCAACAGACCTTTCTGGTATGGTAGGACCTTGTAGGGATAAGTGATCTACCACCATAGCTCGTTGGGTCATTTTGATATGCAGACCCGACTACCACCTGAAGGTAACAGCTATCGGTTGGGCAGTCAAGCTAAGAAATGTGACTTCATTTTGTTTGCGGTTTGTCACAGGATATCATAGTATACGATTCAATCCATTGAGATTGAAACCTTCAAACTATCTCATCAAACTCCTGAGCTTTAGCTACTACATCACCAGGTTCTCATGGTCAGGGAAAGCAGATTAACTGTTATCATCTTTCTGCTAAGTGACCGAACTTAATAAATCAACTTCTCTCAGCAAACGAAACGTTAGCGTCAGTTCGCTCATTTGACGACAGATGTCATTTTCAGTCAATTAACTTATGTCCATCTTGCTTAGAAACAAAGTGAATTATATAGATGAATAAATCCCTTAATTATCTAACTTAGGGGAAAGATGGTTAAAGCACTAAATTTTTATTGATATTTGGTTAGCATCAAAAAATAAAAAGTTTTTTAAGAGCACCAAGACACAGAGAAATGTGAATGAACCTGAACAAAGTTCCTCCTGGTTCCATAAAACAACTTAAGGAGATCATGGTTTCATTGATCGATGGAGTTTACTGACACCTGTAACAAGTATTTCGCTTGTTACACTTCTTCTCTCGTCTTATTTTGAAACAATGATTATCGAAAGAATTCTTCTTCCTGTTTCCCTAGAATTAATCATTAAAGTACGGGTAGTAGACTGTGTACGGATCGCGTGTATTATATAACAATGAATAGTAAATTGCAGACACAATAGACAAGGATTCTACACAACTTCTAAGGACGCATTAAAGAGAGAAGAAATTAGGTTCAACAAAAAGAAGGAATGAAAAACACTAAAACGCACGCATAACAAACAATAATAATTCACATAATGCAAATGGAAAATAACAAAAATGATGATAAATACTTCTAACCCTGACTCATCGGCAGACAAATCGATGAGATGGCTGGCTGCCCTATTAGTTGCCGATTTGTAGACAGAAATATGTCTGTATATGCTAAAATAACATCAATTGAAAATGTAAACAATGGCTACAGTTATATGGATGACATGCAAAGTAGAATGCAGCACAGGTGAATTGGGGTGAAAAGTTTGATTAGACAAAGCAAAAGAACAATCATGGAATGTTTAGTGGATTAATTTCCTGAACTAAGTAAACTGAACGTTTAAATTCTTCAGAAATTTAGCTATTCATCTTCATACACAACAATTTTTGTGTATGATTGATGGGATACTAATTCAACGATAAAGAGTAATAACAGACAGACCGAGCATTCGGCACTTTCATCTAGCCGTTAGTCATAGGACCAAATGGGAAAGATAAGACGAGGTTAAGACCAGTAACAACGGGCATACCGTTAGATAAAGGATAAAATATGAAGAATAGAGGTTATTCTCCTATTAAAATGAAGGTATCCATCGGTCGTTAAATTCTAAACAACGATAATCTAAGTGGTTCATGCAAATATTCTCGCTTTACTAAAGAACAACCTCTATTGACAGTCAGTCGGGATCAACATAAAAACTGACATCACTGCATAACCGTCCAAATTGCCACACCTCATAACAGCACATCATAGTAGTAGGTATACAAGAAAGAGAAATAAGGAAATAATTAGGTGATAGAAAACAGGGCAACAAAGTACACCCATCTTGGAGCAAAAATTTATATTTGAGTGATGCGAAACATATTCGAAATATTCTGAAATTGTCACTCAGGTTATATAGAAGACAGCATCTTATTAGCATCTTCACCTGAGAGGACTATATCTTATCAGTACTGTAGATCTACTAAGAATTAAGCTGTGATAAGATCAATCGCTGTAAATTTAGACGATCAGAGTGAGACCTCGTTAAGCATGTGCATAACAAAACTAAATAGGAACAGAATGGATACACTTGACGAACACTACTAGACGTATACAATTCACCTAACAACTCATGGGTGTTCGAATACAACGCCTTCAACATGTTTATGAGCTTATCTAGCACGCTTTCAGTGAGAGACACTGCCAACAGACCTCTTTATCAATGGAGTCTTTATTTTATGAAAAAACTACCTTCCCAAGCTAAAGAAAGAAACCTAATTGGTTATTTTAATAGCTGATAGAGTGGATCCACTTCATTAACTCATCAACTAATTTTCTCTCACTGAGCTGAACTCAATCTTATGAGCATAATCACTTTCGCATTTTATATAATCTACTAGCTAGTATTAGGTGTCTCTCTGTTTACATACCTTCGGTTCTGTTTAAAATTCTTGAACTCGCTAATAAACATAAAAAAATAGCAGCATTTGGAACTATAAGTTATGTCTACTTTTTCACGATCAATGCTTCCCTGATTCAAAACACCCTGCTGTGCTGGCAGTATGCAGTTGATGAGAACTTATGCATCAAAAAAATGCCTTCTTACCATGCTTAGATTTATCAAGAGAATCAAAAACCTGAAATAGAATACCAACTACTAGTATTTTTGTCATTTACACACATTGTGATGATGCAAAATTGCAAAAAGAAGTCTATTAACATTAGCACAAGTTTATGGAGATGCCAACATACAAGGGTGAATAGATTTAACAAGAAAATGCTTACTTACCCATGTAATTTTCGGAATAAAAGTTTGCGTCTGAATAAAGGAAGATAAACAAGGGTAAATAAAAAAAAGATAAAAGCAATGAATCGTAAAACTAATTAATTAAATGAAAAAATTCATTGTGTAAGTAATATGTAGAAACAAAGCTGTAAAGTCTACACATCAGCGTTAACAGTGTCACTTCAGCTGCACACCGACAACTGTCGACTATAATTTAATATCGACAACACAGGAGCTGAGTGATAAGCTATGAAAACAGTGCACATTTCGATAGTGTAGCATAACAAAGCAAGTGAATGCAATCTGATTTATAACTAGTCGATAGTGATCTGAATCACCCAACTCGTGTTGTTAAGCCAGTAACTCTCATTCCATAGTGAAATGAAAAAACTTCACTATTATTAGTAAACTTATTTCAAACACCACAAAGAACGAACAAATACCCATAAAAATGAGCGCTAGACATGATTTCACACAACAGGATTTAGCATATGCTTACATTCCCTTAATGCAATAATCATCGGAGTTCAATATGATGTGGAAATTGTATAAAGAATTTCAAACCACTGATAATATTATATTGTTGGGTACTTGGCATAGTTATTTCTAGGCAGGTGAAAAAACAATAAAGAACTAATAAGAACCAAGATCCTTCGAATGCTTTACACTTTAGAGTGATTACACCTAATGTAAGCAAACAATGTGGAAATTTGAACAAAATGAAACTGCTTAACTTAAAATTCCTCAACTAACACCTTAAAAACTAAAGGGTTCAGTTTGGTGTAAGAATACCACTTCTTCTAGCTGCTTACTTTATTTACAAAGTAGTTGGAGAAGGAAAAATCAATGAAACATAATTGAACCCAACTTCATTTGCTTTTATAATCTCCATGGATAGAAAAGAAAGTCCATAATTAGAAGTAAATACATTGAGATACTTTGTATATACAGTGTAGAGTATTCAGCGTAAGAGAATGCCAAAACATTAGGAAGCTTAGCTGAAACATAATTTGGTGATGTTAGAAGTATTTAAGAAATAAAAGGTTTGATTAAAATGATATAACGAGAACATTATACATCTGTAAAAAGATGTACTTTCCTGTTAATTAATTTTATGTGAATGGTGAAAAAAGTTGAAACAAGATAAAAACTACTTCAATTTTTGAACCATTGAATTAAACAGTTTCTCAGGTACAATTTAAGATATTTCGTTGCTTTAAAGGATGTTAAAAACAAAACAACTAACTAATGAACTTTGTCGTCAACTCGTAGTGAAAAATATTTCAAGTGTATGCGAGATATCAAATCCGGGTTCCAAGATGCCACTACTGATTGAAAGAAGTATATCAGTACTGAACAGTTTCTAGAAGGTTTTTCCGTTAGAATATCACTGCCACTAATGTTACATAGAAATAAGGTGATCAAGATGAACTAAAATGCTCGTCTGAGAAACTAGAGCAAGGTGAATAACTGCTTTTATCCAACCTCACATAGTTTATTACGGAAATTCTGAGGTGTATGACATTGTCCAAAGACACACCTTAGTAACACATGATTTTAAACAAAAGTAGGCCTACTTAATAGGTACTATCATAAACCCCTGCAAATTTATTGTGACACATAGTCTAGTACATTAACCTGTGCTGGGTAGATTAGTTGCACAAGATAGTTTAAAATCACCCTTCGACAAGATGGATAGTAACATATATCATTACAGTTTAGTATTAACATTCTCCAAAACATGATATCAGTAAATAATTTTTCCAGAATCAAGACAGCATAAAATGGATAATTTTAACGGGAATTTTTGTCCTTTTAATTAACAGTATTAAATATACGATTATGAAACAACTTAATATAAACTTTCTACATAAATTAGTCTGAGAAGATCCAATTTAGACCCAAGGCAGAACACGGAACCTGAATGTCCTAGGTTCGACTCCTGGTGGGATCATGGGTGCACACTGCTGAGGAGTCCCATACTAGGACAGAACGGCTGTTCAATACTCCCAGATTTTCAATGTTCCCCCGACTGCTGTTAGTTCATGATGAATACCAACCTGTAATATGAGAAGAATGAAAGCCCGGATATTTTGGTTGCCAATTCAAATGGTGAGAATCCTTAGTTTAAGACAATGTTGATTGGCTGGAAGTGTCTTTCAAGAAATAAAAAACCAACAAGCTAAAGAATCCATATTAGAAAAAGATTACAGTACAGCACTAACTATTGTTTTCATCATACTACACACCATAAGAATTTAATTTTAATAGATTACTTGTTTCTTATCCAGCTGACTGTGTGGGCAACAGAAACAAGTACCGCTTATAAAACTTCTCAAAAAATGTTTGGAACCCGGTGCATAACACAATGATGAATATGTTCAATACGAAAGGTAGATAAAAACAGCATCAGTAACTATGGGGTTAACTAAATAGAGATCAACTGAAACACTTTACATGATCTCATCTATATTACACAATCATTTAGTCTATGACAAAACTTCCAGATAAGTTCACAGAAGTAGGAACGGAAGATAAATAAACCACACTGTAACAAAATAAGGGAGTTCGTCAGTCTGCACTCCAACAAGTTATTTCCATTGATTTAAATAAGTTGGGTACTATGACTTACTAAGATATTTCATGTTCATATTTATAATTTTTTTTTAATATTCACTACTGATATATGGCGAAAAACTGATAAGTGACAATTGTCTAACTGCAAAATAGGCACCTTGTTGTTCCAAACTGAATGTTCCAATCGAGGAGTGGAATTTATTACTTTGCAGTCTTGTAAGATGTGAACAGAGCTAAGTACAGTCAGCTGAGAAATTCAACTCTTATTTCATTTCCAATTTAATGGACTTTTAGGTGTGTGAGGTGAGTTTAACATATTATACATACCACGTCACAATTTTGCGATTCAAGAACATCATGCTTCGAGAAAAATCAAAAATATTTTCTCGCCTTCTATCTTCCACTAAACCTTAGTCGAATGGGATGGCTTTGATATGTAATGCGCATGCCAAATCACCTACTACCTCAACGTGTCGTGCTAGGATAAGCTGCATTAGCTTGGAAGAGGGTTCAGGATGACCGGACCAAGATGTGGCACCAGTCGATGAAATCTCTGACTGTTGGTTTAAGCCATATGGGGAGGTTTAGACTGCCTGCCTGGAGCCCCGAGACAGTGAGAACCAATGGTTGAGAACTCTAGGTGACATGGCTGAAAATCGGTCACAATCGCTCAGATGTATTCACTCCTTGACATCTAAAGCTAGAATATTTGCACTACCCATTATATTGCGATGTATTACAATATATTTTCTTACACAACTTCGTCTACTCTGATATCACTTTTTTTCCATTCCCTTGTTCTTTGTAAACTACTGTGAAGTGTGAGAAGCTGGGCGATGCAGTCGTGCGCGAGGTTCTACATTGATTTTGTCTGTCTGTCTGACTAAACTCAGCATATATAAGATTGAAAAAGAGAAGAAAACATGCACAAAACTAGGAAAATCCGGGTGTGATATACATCATGTACATCTACCAACTTTTGACTTATGGATGTTATCGTCTTCAATACAGTTATTTTTCTTCTTGCTCCGCTTTTCTCTGTGCTGTTGAGAAATATGGCAACTTGAAATGCCTATCTTGCCATTTAATATGAAGATTGAATATATCCTCTGAGCCCTAGGTAATGAATGATTGTATAACTGGAGATCACATATCTAGTTAATTCCATTTCAAACCTTTATTGACACAGTTTTACGTCCAACTATCATGATGACGTACTTAATATCTTACACTACCTAATAATTATATCATATCAACAAAAAAGGGAATAATTTTACTATTATTTTAAAAGTTGTACATACTTGTTGGTCGTAAATATCACAAAAGTAGTGCAGCCATTTAATAAACAGTCAAAAAACTGCAAAATGATGCAACTAGTTAAAATATGCGAATAGGCGCGTAAACAAACTATCCATGTAAAAGCAACAAAACAGAGAATGTGAACAGAATCAAGTGTTTGCATGGAAGAGATTAAAAAAAACTCACTTTATTCGGTCCCATCTAAGATGAATTGTGAGTGAAATTAAAAATTAAAATTGTTACTCATTTTATCATCGAACAGCCACAACAAAAAGACCCACTCAGAGAATATATAATATATATATATATATACTTATATATCAAACAATTAAAAATTCTTGTCAAGAGGAACGAAAAAAGGGAACCCTTTATGGACATTTTAGACACTGATGCGCAAGTTTTGATTTCGAGAAAAACACCAGTTATCTAAACACTTCCACACACACCATACTTTCAGTGAACAACGATATATCCTTCAGACCATTTAATAAGAAGAATCCTTCTGAGATTTGAACATACATGAATCAGGAGTGGAGTTGCAGAGATATGGCTACTTAAAATAGGATAGTGATCACTAGGTTGATATCAACGAGATTAGTTTCCACTTACTCTTTTTACTTGATAGCAGTGTATTTTATTAATTTAACACTTTTCCAGATATATGGCTGGATCAATTAGCTCAAAATGAGCCAAATGGTCACCTAGTGTCTACGTTTCTCTAATATGCACAACAAAAACTGGGAATCATTCTTTGTTTCTAATTACTCCTATGTTTAGTTGTATATGTCGAAATATATCTTCATTGTGGAATACATCGCCGACTGCCACCAAACTCATAACATATGTAACGCAGACAGACAAAATCAATGCAGAACATTGCACACAAGTGCACCGGCTTAAGTTATAACACCTTAAAGGAGCATGCAAACAACAAGTGGATAGAAAAAGACTGATATCAAAGTAGAAGAAGGTACATAGGAGAAGAAGGACTTTGCAAATGAAGATTGGTCGAAACATTCAAGCTTTGAAAGACGACAAAGAGAGTGAATCCGTCCGCACCATTGTAACTGACTTTCAGCCATGTTACCTATGGTCTCCAACCATTGATTCCTATCATATCAAGGGCATCAATGGGACAGTCTAATACTCTCTACACG